GGGGGTGCCGGGGTGTCCCGGGGAGGCGCGGTCCTAGTCCCAGCGCCTTAAGTTTTCGTCAGGAGTGGGGAAGGGGCGTTGCGGGTTTGTCGTTGCTAGAAATGCCGGAGCGGGGGTGGGTGACCTGGAAAGTGGTGGCAGCAGTGGCTCTGGCGGTCGGTGTGCTCTGCCCGGACACACGAAGGAGCCTTCAGGAGCTGGGGCATCCCTCCTTTGGGGGGCTGACGCACCCCCGGCCTCCCCTCCCAGCGCGGCCGCCAGCCCCGCTGAGGCAGCCCAGGCCCTTGCTGGGGTCGCTGCCCTGTCCTGCCCCCTCGGGCCTTAAGCACGAGTGCCCAAGCAGCAGGGAAGAGCTGCCCAGGCGTGAGGCCCTCTTTCCCGCCTTCCCTCAGGGGGTGACCTGTAAGGCCTCCATCCAAAATCCGGCCTTTTTGTTGTGGTTGGACCAGATAACTAAAAGTGCCAAGAATCTCAGATTTGGAGGCTTTTTTTGTGAGCCTGGGAGGAGCCGTAGTCGAGGTTAAAATTAATGACTATAGAGACTTCTGAAATACCTAGTGATTACTTACTAACCAATTAACCTGCCTTTCTTCCCGGGCAGCTGTCAGCGCCTGGTGAGCAAATGTCTCCACACCACGGTGAGGTTCCTGAAGAAAACTGGAACTGAGCACCAGTGGATGGAGCGGCACTTGAAGGATCCCTTTGTCAAGGCAACGAAGCAGCAGCATTACCGTTGCCGGAGTGCCTTCAAATTACTGGAAATTGATGACAAGCTTCACATTCTTCGCCCAGGACTTTCTGTTCTTGACTGTGGAGCAGCACCTGGTGCTTGGAGCCAGGTTGCTGTCAAGAGGGTCAACGCTTTAGGTACTGGTAAGTGCGTGTTTTTGGCAGGCAAGATGGGGATGATGCTCGAAGTGTGTCAGAAAACTCAGCTGTGATGGTGGTGGTGCAGGGAAGGGACACAGGTACTGGCAAATGCCGGAGTCACGGGTAGAAGCGTGAAGGTGTGTGCCTACGTGCCAGTGGAGAATAGTAAACCTTCATGCGGTCTGTAGAAATTGTATCCGGGAAATAAAAATTACCACGTGGTGCTGCTGTTCTGATTGACTGTGTGGTGGGGAGGATCCCTTCATCCAGGTCTGAAATTCATGTAGCCTCCAGCAGATAACTGGGCTTTTCTGTATTTTTGTTTCCCATCTTGAAAAATGCTAGTAACCACTACGTACGGTTTGTGTGTTTTGAGCCATTAATATTTACAAGATAAGGTGTTATCATCTGTACTGTTGTGCAGGATTTCTGGTCTGTCAGCCTTGAAAGAGCAGAGAAAACCAAGAAAAATGCCCCTTGCTTATCCAAAGTAGCTGACTCTTCATGGCTTGAATGGATTAGCTTATAGCAAACCATCCATCCAGATGCACGCAGCAAAATAAGGATGAGAAGCCCAGACATGGCAGGTGGTTTTGTGGTTATTGACTAGCACGGAGCTCAGGCATGCGCAGGTTGTTTGCAGCCATTCCAAGTGTCATTCATATCATTCATTCTTGTAATCTAGATCCTGCTGTCCCCACCGGCTTCGTCCTTGGCGTTGACCTCCTGCGGATTTCTCCTCTGGAAGGAGCAGTCTTCTTGTCAGAGGCTGACATTGCAGACCCGAGCACCCTGAGGACAATTCAGAGCCTGCTTCCCACCGAGAAGGTGGATGTTATCTTGAGCGACATGGCACCTAATGCATCAGGCATTAAAGAACTGGATCACCAGAAGCTGATCCATCTGTGTTTAGGCCTTCTGAATCTCTCCCAAAGTCTTTTAAAGCCGAAAGGAACGATGCTCTGTAAGTTCTGGGATGGAAGTGAGTCCTGTCTTCTGCAAAACAGGCTGAAGGAGCAGTTCCAAGATGTGAGAACTATAAAGCCCCAGGCCAGCCGGAAGGACTCTGCTGAATCTTACTATTTGGCCAGACTGTACAAAGGGAAGTGAAAGCAGAGAACTGCAGGTTATCAAACAGGTGATCAGATATTGACTGAAAATCTGAATTTGGCGTGTGTTTGAAGAAAAACCCCAGTGTTAAGACCCTTAACCCGAACTGTTAGGTTGTTGAGAATAACCTGGGAAAACCTGTCACGATCCTTTCGAAGTACATCGTGCTTTTCAAATAGAAAAATAAACCAGGGTGGTATCCTGCTGAGTTTATCCACTAATGACATGCGCAGAGACATCCAATCCAGCTTCTCACCTGTGGAGAAAGCGGTTGGGAATGGAGAGAAGTAATCTGAAAGGCAACCTCTGGGGCTGGAGTAATGGAAGCGAAAATAAAACAGTGATTATATGAGTTTTTAATGTGTGCTTGAAAATCATTGCACTGTTAATGTTGTCATGTATGAGACTAACCATAAGGGCGGTTGTCAGAATGAGAGGGAACAGCAAGGGGCGTTTAAGCCAATTCATTGCATCTTCATCTTTCTTAAAAGCTGGTGCAATTTATTAGCGCCTGTAAAAATAGATGATGTTTTTGTGCGCGTTGGGGTGTGCATCATCACGTACGATCTGTAACGCAGCCGCTCGGGAGATGGGGCTGACTCGGGAACATTTCGCCTGATGGCTCGGCTGCATTTCCTAAAGACAGAGGTTATATTTAGAAATTGCTACTTCTTGATACTCATAAATCCAGTAAATGACAGCAGGGCAGGGTCATCGCTACTGAGAAGATAATTTCCCCAGTGTTTTCTGTAGTTTTATATTTGACCAATGGTGAAATGCCGAGATGTTCCTTGGATCCCAGACGGGGCGAATTACTGATTGAATTGCTAGAATTCTGTTTGCAAAAGTAAATTTAGCCACTGCCTTATCTGGAAGTGACAACTTTTACATTAAATAGCACTTTTATCAGGCCGACTGTGACACGAGTTATAAGAGCACTGGTTGTTTTTAAGGCTTCCAGATCTTTCTCATGACAACCATCTCACCGGGGGTGGCTTATGCATCCATCAAATTTTAACGGCTTTGAACCCTCCCGATCTGCACCTCCGTACTGAATGGTGTGTGTGACAGCGTTATCCCCAGAGCCTAAACTGGGGAGCTGGGTGTTGCTTTGTGCGCGTTTTGGAAGGAAAAACCAAAAAGTCGAGCCTGCTTTTTGGGAAACTCCATGCCCTGCGACTGCCAACGGGCGCTGGAGCGGGCCGGGCTCTGCCGGAGCGCGGGCTCTCCCTGCCG